TAAAATTCTGCAAAACAGCTTTTCGTTGCTAACGAGCAAGAGCAAAAAACTACACTGAATATGGCAAGTGTGTTTATGCTATGTGACTTCAGTTCGCGAAGTGAATAGCTATTTATATAGCAAATAGAACTGTTATCGTTTGTTTTGATCCCAAGAATCGGGAACGATTAAAATATAATGCACTGATCTTGACTAACGTTAAAGCAATTGTCAAATTTATTTTAATTTTCCGCAAGACATTCACAGTTGGAAATGTGTGCACGATCGAAAGCTGTAGAAGGAAATGTTGGAGATGGTCGAGCTTCTTACAGACTTGACTCCTGGGCCAGAGTGGCTCATACTGGCAGTAATTGTATGAAACTGACAATATAAGTAGTGTTGCCTCTATCCTCGTGTCGCTTGCTTTTGAAGGTATTTTAACAAATCATCATCTATCCTTATTTTTCGCCAATAAGCGTCAATGCCATTTCTCTAGGGATTCATCGGCTTGTTACACGTTTTATCTGGAAAAGATCATCAAGTCAAATGATCTGTCCAGTTATCTGCGGAAGGTTGACGTTCCATACAAGCCTGTCGAATCGAAAGACACCGAATATGCCTTTCGAAATTCACAGGTGCTACATCACTTATAAGATGCAGTTCCACTTTTCGTTGTCTGTAACGCATTATAGCTAAAACTGCGAGTTGCCGAATGTCAGAACGCATTGAAGGTATTGCAGAAGATCGAGATGGCGTACCTGTGAACTTGCTTTTAGGCGATGACTTCGATCTGTTGCAATTCAAAGTAACTATTGCAGTTCGCGTATTGCACTGGCTGTAACAAAATTCACCGCTAATAGACTGCATGCACGTTTTACCTTGTATATTATAGTGTTATCGTTGCGCCTTCCAAACAATACTTATTTTGAACTAACGAAACTTCAAAGGGAGCAGAGTAATTACTCTGTTGTTCCACTATCTGAACGCAGTATAGCGCTTAACAGAATAGTGAAAATGCTGGCATTAAACGATATCTACCTAAAATGTCTACGTTTAGTGAAAGCCATGTACAAGGCAGAGTACCATCTCATATAGTTGTACTACTTTGAAGGATGAAAGGCGCGTTTATCCAGCCTGAATTCTAACCACCATCTGTTGGATGCACATCTGACGCTTTATCCATTTAGCTACTATCCGCTTTACATTTTGCGCTGACTTCCATTCTTAACATATGTTTCAAGATCATTGTAGTCCCGCTTGTAGCGAGGTGGTCTGTTCGCTTGAGCGGTTAGGTAAAAATTGAAGCGCTTTCAGTTAGAGTCCAATTTGATTCATATTCGTCATGATTTTTCCTAAACGTATAGGCGAGTGCATATCAGTGT